TTCTTCACTCAGACAGCTGCTGGCTGCTGAGGCTGACAAGCCCCAAGGTTGACAAGTAAAAAGGCACAGTCCCAATGTTACCAAATCACACGGCAGGCCATTAACTTAAGTCCATTGTAAGTCCCAAGGTCAGTAGACCACGGCAGGCTGCTGAACAATGACACTGCTACATGCAGGGTTTAAGCGTGCCATAAGCTAGAGTCCATTCCCCAAGGGTTTTCCTTATATACAGGAAGCAGACTACATCCCTAAGGCATCTACTCAGCTGATTGTGGTAGATCCCACCATGGAGCTGATTGCCAGTCTCATCATGGGGAATAACTACCACCAGCTGCCCAGCCACTCAGGCGGGCCCAGCCAAGTTGACACAAAAACGTAACCATCACACCTAGTGTCCCAGCCTTGTCCTCTCTTTAGTCTTAGATGTGCACTGGTAGATTTCAGCTGCTCGCCATGGATCATTCTGCCAGCATTTCCTGCCTCTTGGTTGGACGTAGTGTTCTTGTGGTACATCTATCTCTAGGAAGGGCCGATGAGCATTTTCCCAATGTCCTAGAGCCCTGGTCCTTGGGCTGCCTGGCCGGACCTGGAGCCTTGGCTCACACCTCCTCCCATTGAGTACCCCCTCTGCATGCTGGCTCCCAGGGGCCTGAGGCCAGGTGTGCTCCCCCAGTTTGTAAATCACTGGACTGCCTGGAGGCCCTGCAGTTTTCATTGTGATGCTTTAAATTGGACAGTTTTACTAGGAAGTACCTCGTAGCTGATTATCCCGGTAATTTTCACTGGTGATCAGTGGGCCCTTTCGATGTGGCTGTTCAGGTCTTTGTATACTTCTGGAAGGTTCTCTAGATGACGGTTTTTATTTTTTTATTGTGAGGTGTGTGCAAATTTACAAAGCAGATTCATTTTGCTCTCAACAGTTCACGGGCATTTGGTTTCACAGCCCGTTACCATCACACACAATGAAAAGCTCTCCTCCCCTCCCCGTGCCCTTCTGATCCATGCACTCCCCTCTCCAGCTTTCTCTCTACAGCAATGCTGCCCCTCCGACGTCCCATGGCTGACTGATCCAAGGGGTGCATCTCCCTGGGGTGGGTGTTGTGCACGTAGGTCTTTTTCTACCATTGGCCTGAGAGCCAATCCACAGGAGTGAGTGTGTTTCCAGGCCCGAAGGCTGCCCAGGGCCATAGTCTTGGGGGTTCCCCCAGTCCCCATCCAGCCAGTAATTCTGGTCATTTTTTTGTGTTTGAATTTTGTTCCACATTTTTCCTACTTTATCCAGGGTCTCCAATTTTGATCCCTTTCTGAGTGGTTGGCATTGGGAGGTGGGTACCATCTAGTTCTTCTGGTCTCAGGGTCATGAAAGCTGAGATCCTCGTATTTTCGGACTAATTGTTTCCAAATGACTTTGATTTTCTTTACTCTTCTTTGCTCAAGATGAGAGAAGTCCAATAGTTGCATCTTAGACGGCCACTCAGAAGCTTTTAAGACCCCAGTTGCTACCCATGGGGTGAGTTTTAAACACTAGTTCTGTTCCACTTCTCCCAAGATTGGGGACATTACTCCTTCTTCGCCCGTCTCTCATCCCCTCATTTTTTCTGACCCTTTTTGTTTCTTCCCCCTCCATTCTTACTTCTTGCTTCCACACGTTTTCTTGAATTCCCACCTTCTGAATCTTGGGCACCTTGCAAACTTGTATTTCACTTCCCAATCTTTTTCTTTCATTTCTATCTTGAATTCAATAAGCTGTTCTCGGTTCTTGGTTCTGTCCATTTCGGTGCTTAGATTTTTAATTTCTGACTCAAAGTGGTTCTTAAATTATCTTCAAACATTTATTGTGCTTTGGTCGAGTACTGGGTTTGTTGGTGGGGTACCTTGAGTTCTGCTTCTGCGAGGTCTTCCAGGGCTTGTAACTTATTAGTTAACTGGGTAATTTCATGTTTTGGTATTTTGTATAAATTCCCCCCCATTTATCTCCTTACTGTTCTTAGTATGGGATGTTTCACAAAATCCCTAGTTTAAGGCCCACTGTTGTAGGGAAGTTGAGAGCCTTTGGGGGATGTTTTTGCATCTATTTTGGGGATGCGGGGAACGTAGCTCCTAATTTCATGGTTCTCCCGTGTCCAACTTATTTTCCCTTCACCAGTGATTTGCCAGATGGTGCACCCTTATGTCTGCTCTTACATTTGCCCCAATAAGTGCTGTCTCTCGAAGGTGCCCCTGGAAATCTTGGGTCATGCACTTATTGGCCTGGGCTGGTCTTGGCCATTTTCATACTTCCGTGGACGTGGACTCCCTGGTGGGATGGATCAGTTGGGAGCACTCTGCTGTCTGGACATGCCTCAGGACTGGGGCGTTTTTCTCACTTCCTTTAGGCCTGGGTGTCTTGGGTGCAGACCTGTTTTGCTCTCAGGGTACTTCTGTGCTGCTTGGGGGAAGGCTGGGCTAGGTGGCTACGGTTGCTGTCCCGCCTGGAATCCCTGAAGTGCCCAAGATGAAGACGGAGGTTCGTCTGTTAGTGGGATGACCCACGGTGCACAATGCCAGGGCCAGCCAGGGGGCCTCCAGCAGAACCCTCCCATGGGGTCAGACAGTGGCTGTGGTTTCCTCCAGAAACCAAGTCCTTCTGTTCAGGGTTTCAAATCAGCATAGAACTGGGTTACTATTTAGGAGCCCTGGTGACAGCCATGAGAGAGCTCTGATGGCATAGTACCTGAGGCACTTGACTGCTAACCAGAAGGCCGGTGGTTCAAACCCACCAGCCACTCCTCAAAAGGAGTAACTCTATCTTCCGTAGAGATATGCCTCAGAAACCCGAGGGGTCACCAAGTTGGATCCGACTCTATGGCAGTGAGTGGGTGGCTAATGCCACAGTGAAGTACTCAGTTGTTAACAGAAAGGTCAGGAGTTCCAACCCACCAGCCACTCTGCAGGAGGAAGATGTGGCAGTCTGCTTCCATAAAGATTGACAGCTCGAAAAACCCCATGTGGCAGTTGGACTGTCGTACAGGGTCACTGCAAGTCAGGCCCACTTGATGGCAATGGCCTTGGTCTGGTCACTCTTTAGTACACATGTGAGTTCTCACCTCAGGGAAGGTAACGGGCTAGAAGATAGAAGACTCAACGGACGCCGAATTCACTACACCGTCTTTCATTCCTCAGGCTGTAATGGTCCCAAAGCCCCTCCTGTGTGGGGCATCCCCAGGTCCCCTAACCCCACCGCCCCCCATTCCCCCCAGAAGGGGAGTCAAAGGCACTGGGGCAGCCACCTACCTCTGGACCCCAAGAAGAGACACCACGCTTAGGATTGGTTTCATTTTTTATTTTTTTTTTTAAAAAAAGCCCCTAAGTCCTATGGCTTCAAGGAAGCATCAGACGTAAATGCCATTTCTGTACACTTTGTAAAGCAGGAACTAGACTCGTACAACTGCCGCCCGCCTGGCCGGCAGCCGCAGCTGCCCTGGGCCCTGCAAACGTCCCCGGGGCCGCGCCAGGAACTTTAAGGCGGTTTTGTCTCCCGCTGCACCAGATGCGGGAGGGGCACAGACGGCCAGACCGGGGCAGACGTCCTGCAGGTCTGGCCCGGGGCCCAACCTCTGGAAGCAGGTGTGTCTTGACCCCCCACCTGGCAGGAGGAGCCGGCTCCACACGGGGCCCGGTGAGGCTGCGCAGGGCTGCGGAGCTTTGGTGCAGCATTTGGTTGGGGGCGGCCACGATCCCGCCCCACCTGCCCCTTTGGTCTGGGGGACCCAGGGGCCTCACCCCTATACACGGGCCTGAGCAGCACCGCCCGGCGGCACCCGGGCCGGGCCTGTGAACAGCAGTGCCCAGCCCTGCCCCCCATCGAGAAATCGGCCTTTGGATCGAGGGAGACAAGCTGGACTTTATGACACTACAGCAGGCCCTGCCCCACTCCCTTCAGCAGACAGGCGGAGGGGGGGGCCTTTCTGAGTTTCCTTGTTTAAATAGTTAATGCTCTTGGAAAGGAGGACTAGACACGGGTGTGAAATCTCGGCCCAAGTCTTACGTGAAGGAGGCGGCCCGGTGCAGGGCGAGCCGCGCATCGTGGCCGGAGGCCCGCGTTCTGTGCTCGGCAGCGGCGGGTCAGGCCGGGCGGCTGCAGCCTGCAGCGGTCTGTGCCGGAGGATTCAGCGGAGGGTCCCCCGCAGGCTCACTTGTGTCGCTGCAGTGATTTCCTCTTTCTCCTCTTAAAGAAGCAGCAGCACCTAAGGGGCGGGGCACAGCTCAATCCCAGGAAGGGCCCCAGCGGCGGCGGCGCCCCGTCCCCCCCCCCCCCCCCTCGCAGGCGTACTTGGTGTCGTCCGCCACCTCCACCTCGGCGGGCGCTGTGATGGGCGCGTTGGAGTGGCCGGCCGTGGGGTCGTCTGCGTTCAGCTCCCCGTTGGTGGAGTTCAGCGCCTGCGTGGGGGCAGCAGAGGTCATCCTGGGTCCCACCCACGCTCTTTCCCGTCAGGCCCACCTGCCCTCACCTGGTGCTTGGGGTGCGGGGGGGCCTTGTCACGGAGCTGGGGCTGCGCAGGCAGGTCAGGGTGCACCGTGCCAATCGGCGTGGGCTGTGGAGGGGTGGGAGTCAGGGCAGCAGTGGCCCTGAGGCCCCGCCAAGCGCCCTCCCCCGGCCCCCACATACCAGGGGCTTCCCGGCCCAGTCGTACTCGTAGTCAAAGACGAAGCCGCTACGGTCGAAAAGGTCAGAGAAGAGCTTGCGTAGATACTCATAGTCCGGCTTCTCAAAGAAGTCCAGCCGCCGCACGTAGCGCAAGTAGGCCGCCAGTTCCTCTGCGGAGAGAGCCCAGCGGTGCCTCGGCACGCACCCGGGGGCAGCCTGCACCCGCGGGCCCCCCTTACCTGGAAAGTTCTCGCAGAGCACCTCGATGGGTGTGGCTCGCTTGGTGTCGCCGATCTTCTGGTAGCGCTCCTTAAGCGTGTCCGCCTGCGGGATGGGCGGGGCGGATCAGGCCGTGCTCCCCAGGGAAGGGGTCCCCCACACCCCATCCAGGACTCACCTTCAGCCCTTGCCAGGGAAGGCTGCCGCGCAAAAAGTACATGAACATGTGGCCCAGGGCCTCCAGGTCATCACGGCGGCTCTGCTCTGCGGAGAGGGGGCAGGGAGGCTCAGCAGGGCGGGGGCCTGGCCGCCCCCCAGCCCCGCCCCCCACGCCAGCTCACCCTTGCCCAGGTGGGTGTTGATGCTCATATAGCGGGCAGTGCCAGTCAGGCTTTTGTGCTCCCGGTACGGGATGTGCTTCTTGGTCTCGGGGTCGATGTACTCTTTGGCCAGCCCGAAATCGATGATGTGGATGGTATGCTGTCGCTTGGTGCCCGGCCGCCCCACCAGAAAGTTCTCTGGCTTCACGTCCCGGTAGATGAGGCTCTTGGTGTGCACGTACTCCATACGTGTGATCTGCAGGCAGCCGAGGGGCCTCAACCACCGCCGGCCCACCCAGCTCTGCCCCCTGAAGCCCTGCCCCAGCCGGTTGGCCATCACCGGTGCAGGCCTGCACTTCCCACCTCCTCCCCCGGCCCCCTGGAGCCTTACCCCCACGCCACTAGCACAGCAAGAGCGTGGGCGTGCACTTCCTGCCTCCCCCCCCTCAAGGCCCGCGCCAGCTGGAGGGCAATCAGGACTGTGGGCCTGCGCTTCCTGCCTCCTCCCCCGGCCCCGCCTCCTGCAGCCCCCAAAGCCCGCACCAGCTGGATGGCAATCATGAGCACGGTCTTGAGCGTGAAGGTGCGGTCGCACAGGTCAAACAGGTCCTCCAGGCTGGGCCCCAGCAACTCCAGCACCATGGCGTTGTACTTCCCGCACGGCCCGAAGTAGTAGACCTGGGGGACGCCTTCTGTGGACACAAGACCGCGCACAGAGGACGTGCCGCGTACAGACCACCTTTGCCGGCCCACCCCGCCCGCCCTGCGGTACCTGCAGTGCTGAGCTGCTTGTAGAAGCGGTATTCCAGGTGCAGCTGTGGTGCGCGTGACTTGATCGGCTCCTGGGGGTGAGGGCAGGGTGGCACCAGGGACCCGGCTCCAGGCAGAGATGAGGGAGGGGGGGTCGGGTGGACTCAGGGCAGACTGACCCTCAGGGCCCCACGGGAGGGGGCGTGCTAGGCTGGGGGGTGGGGTGGAGGGAGGGACTCACCAATTTGATGGCTACGTATTCGTTTGTATAGAGATTCTTTCCTGCGAGGGAGCAGAGCACGTCAGGACAGCAGGGCCGGGCCGAGCTCTGCCCGAGATCCCCTCCACAGAGCGACTCCGGCCCTGCCAGACCAGGGCAGGGGAAGCAACCCCTGCGGCGGCTGTCTCCCAGAGACCTGGCATCCCGCCCCTCACCCTTGCTGCCCCCCTCTTTGTGGCCTTAGTTTATAACACTACCCAGCCTGCTCCTTTGAGCACCCTGGCTCCTGCGAGCCTCTGCCCCTTGGAGCCCACCCTGAGGGCACCCACTCCCAGGCCCATTACCCCCACAGGATACAACTGTGCCGCTCTAAGACCACCAAAAACACAACAGCCCTGTGACCCACATCTGCTCCTGGGCTCACTCAGCAGGCTGTTGAGGTGCCTGCAATTGGCCAAAGAGGGGTTGGCAGTGCTGCACAGAGAAGGGTCCAGAAACCTGCATGAGGCCCCTCTGAAGCTTCAACCACACACAGTCTGTGAGGCCAATGGGGACCTGAGAGGCTGGGGCCGGACTATGTGGCAGGCACTGGAGGCCCACCATGCAGAGTCCTTTACCTATCAGAAGGGCTGCGCTAGCCCCCAAGCACGGTCCATCTTGGACCCAACCCAATAATAAACCCCAAACCAATCCTTAATTAACACAGGCTCTCAGCTAAACTCAACTCCTGAAGACAACATAAATCCACGTGCTTAACAACAGCAGGAAAATCAAACACACTAGAGATACCAAAAAAGCAATAACTTTTAAAACAGCTATGACAAATACATTCAAGGATTTAGAAGAAAAGATGGCCACAATGAATGAGCAGATGGAAAATGTTAACAGAGAAGGAAGTGGAGATTCTAGAGCTGAAAAACACTATCTGTCAAGTAAAAACTGGGCAGATTCAACAACCACTTAGACATTGCAGAAAAAAAGCGAACTTACAACGAGGCAACAAAAAATACCCCAACTGAAGAGAGTGAAAAGGCTAAAAGACAAGAGCTTAAGGGCTGTGGGACAGTGTCACACATTCCCAACGTACTGTAACTGGAGTCCAAGAAGGAGAAAATGAGACTGAAGTTGAAATCAGGGCTAAACTTTTTCCACATTTAATGAAAAATATCGATATACAGAGCCAAGCAGCTCAATTTCAAGCAGGATAAACAGAAAATGCCCACACTTCAACCCAAGAGAATAAATCCTGATACTAAAGATAAAACAGGCCATCTGAAAACCAGCCAGAGGGAAAGCACCCACTGTAGAGGAATAATACATGCAAAAGAACAATACTTGAGAACATCAGTCACTGGAAAACAAGAAAAAACTCGCTGTCACCACTGCATACCCAGTTGTCATGGAAACACCAGGAAACCACACTGCTGAGGCACAAAACCAACAAGTCGGCTGCTGCCACCAGATGCCAACGAGGTGCAGAAACAGCACCCCTAACCCACCGCTGGTGGTTTAAAATGGTGCCATCACTTCAGAGGCCCACTGGCATCCTCTCATCCATGACAGTCCAGGTCTCTGACCCCGTATGCCCACGACAACGCATCTGCACAGAAGGGAACTCGCAGCTTTACTCCCAAGAGCTGAGGTCTGGAAACCAGCCAGGTGAAGCTGAGTACTAAGATGGTCACGAACGAACTATTGCCCAGTAACGCACAAGACAGACAACTATGGGCTACGGCTGTGCCCAAGGACACAGATCTCAGAAAAGGGGCCTGGGCAAAGAGCCCGGGGAGCCCACAGGCTACAACTAAAAGATGCCAGTAAAGAGAAGCCGACACCCAGCAGCCCTCAGTGCTCTCGTCTGTCTCTGCCACCATCTCCTGCCCCACGAGGACATAGCATGAAGGCCACCTCTGTCCCCATGGCTGTGCACATCCCTGAGCTACCAGGCCACCCTTGGGGTCCCAATGCCCTTTGGCAAGCTCAGCATCTGACGTGACCACCCACCACCTGCCTTGCAGGTCACACCCACACAAGCACGGTGCTTGGCCCTTATAGGCCCCCAGCCTGGGACTTCTTGAGCCCAAGGGTCCTGGGTGGAGAGGTCAAGCTGACCCCAGGAGGCGTGGGATCCTGGTCCCAACCACAGAGTGAGGGTGGGCTCTGGTGCAGGGCAAGGATCTTGAGCCAGCCTCGTGGGGCGTCAGATCAGAGCATGCAGAACAGCCAACCTGCCCTTGGAGAGGGACTCAGCCTGGTACCCTATGACTCCAGGTGTTTGGCCATTCCTGGACAGGGGCTCAGAAACCATGACACCTTGTGAGGACTTCACAGCCGTCCCCTGGGGTACAGAGTGCGAGCCCACCCATGCTCCTTCCAAAACCTCATGGAACTCACCTGTGGGCAGCTCCATTTGGAAGCCCCCTGTCCCCATGGACCCCTGGGAGCAGTCAACTGGACTGCTTCTTCACAGAGGGGCAGGACCCAGATGTTCCGTGGGGGCTGCCCTCCCCACGCACCCTTCCCGCCGCACAAGGACTGGACCTCACCCAGGCGTAGCTCCCCGAAGTTCCCGCAGCCAATCTTCTTGCCAACGCGGAAGTTGGGACCCACCATCAGGACCCCCGAGCTGGCCCCCGAGCCGCGGACACCGTGGCTGCTCCGGCTCCCGCCGGCCTTGGCCATCCTCCGGCCTTCCTCCGACTCCCCTTTCCCTCCTTTCTTGTCAAAATCCATCAGTTTGTGGTACCCCGGTCTCTCCACGGTTACTCCGCCGTGCAAATCCCAACCCTGCGGAAACCTGAGGTTGCAGTGCTCGGCGGGGGCTAGCACACCATGGCAGCCCGTGGCAGGCGGGCCGGCGGGCCCTGCGGCCCAGCTAGTGTGACGGGGGGGCTCTCCAGGGCCCGGCTGCAGCTGCCATCCTGGTGGCCTTGGAGTCGCACTCTGGGGGTGAAGGCATTCTGTTGGCAGGTCCTGTCGCCCTAAGTCTCGCAGCTCCTAGCTGTGGGGAAACAGACACAGGTTAGGGCGGGCCGTGGGCCAAGGACACCACACACAACTATCAAGGATAGCGGGAGGCTGCCGACACCACATGGGCCATAGGCACTGGCTCTGAGGGGCTGCCCGGCTGGCTGCGGGCCTGCCTTAGGCCAGCACTACACGGAACATGCAGCAAGGGCAGGGCTGTGGAAGGAGTCCTGGAGGCAGGAGGGTGACACACAGGACCCTCACATAATCACACCTGCTTCAGATGATACTGCTGCCCACATTCGAGGGGGCTGAGGACAGAATCATAAACTGCCTCCCAGCACAGGCTTGGGTGTGACATGCCACGTGGGAAGAGACCAAGAGTGTCCTGAGACCAGGAGAGGCAGGGGCCGCGGCTATGCCCTCAGGCAGAAGGGCTCAGGCAGACCCAGTAAGTGCCAACTGAACCCCCCCCCCAGCATGGGGCCTGATCCCCAAGGTCCACGTCTGTGGGGAGAACACACATTGTGAGAGAACGGTGTGGACGCACATGTGCCCTGTAGGTGGGCAGTGGGGTCTTGACACCCATTTCCTGCAGCAGGCTTGCTCTTGGCCTAGCCAGGAACAGAGGAGACTGGTCCAAGAGAACCCGGTCTGGCCCACAGAGGGCACTTGTGGCAGCCCCAAGTCACACCGAGGTCTCCTGTGTCACCATACTCACGGGGGTGGACCAGGCCTCAGAGCACTTGGCCCCCGGATGCAAAGAGGACCCCACTGCAATGCATCCCCTCTCCCAGCCATGTGCCTAGAGCACAGTGGGCACTGGGCCCCAGCAGGACAGCCAGGCCTAAATGACACCCACTCTTGGCTGGGGCTCAAGTAGCCTCTCATGTGGGGGACCTGGCCACCCTCCCTCGCCTCACCTGGTTGCCCCATGAGGGGTTCCTCAGATGAGGCTTGCCAGAGTGGGAATGACTCACCAGTCAGGGGAGCATGTCACCAAACTCGGAGTGTCCTGGCCCAAGGAGAACATCCCCCTGTCACGGTACCCCCACATGAGGTTGCAGCATGCTCCAGACACTCCCCTCAAGAACATGGCCCAATGTCCCGAGAGGCCACATCCACAAAAGCAAGCAATTGAACTAAGCTTGTCTGTCTCTCCCTCTCATCTGTACTTGGGCCAGGGACTCGGGGCTGCGGGGTGAGGGCAACAATGACAGGCAGAGCTGTCAGACCAGCACGGGTGGCAGCCCCAAGCTTTCTGCTTCTGGGCCTCACAGTCACGGTTGCACTGGGGTTCTGAGTGGCTCCTGGTCTGACAGGTGGCCCCTTCCAGAACTGGACCACATGAGGTGGCTCATCTCCCAAAACCACATCCCTTAAGTGCACATTCACCTGTCACCCCCAGGCTTAGCGCTCCCACCTCCCCCTGCCCCCTGCCGAAGCTGGATGCCCTGTGTGCCAGGCCTGTGCAGCGACACCGCGGCAAGAGGCGCGGACACAGACGGAGACAGTGGCTCCACAGCGGCTGGGTCTGGGTTGGAGACAGCAACAGCATTGCCACCAGGTGCTCGCTGAGCACATCACCCCCCCCACACACACACACACAGCCTCCGGCAAGGCGTCCCCTAAGTCCACAGAGAAACACCAAGGCCCAGCCCCATGGTCGCCGCCCTACACGAGACCCATTTCCCTGTCTGTGCTGCTGGCCCTGCAGGGCCCATGCTCACAGGCCGTGGTCAGGAGGGAGGCAAGAACACGCCCAGTTAGAGAGGTCAGTGGAGGCTGACACAACACCATGGAGGGAAGGGGCAGATGTGCTTCACTGGCTGAAGGACCCCCTACACACCCCACCAGACCAGGGCCAGGCTGCCAGCCCTGGCCCCTCACACTCAGAAGTGCCAACCCTGCCCAGAAAGCTGGGCATCACCCAGGACCAGGTGACCTGGGGACAGTCGGCTCTCCTGGACCATGCTGTCCCTACCCAGAGGGGTAGCCCCAGGCTGTGAAAGGAACATGGGAGAGTTAGCCACACAGGGAACTGAAAAGAAAAGGGGGCTGATCCCCCTCGATTGCAACTAGCACTCAAGGAAGGGTGGCGAGACCTACGTGGACCCAGCCCAGGCCAGCAGCGGAAATGCAGTGGAGGCAGGCCGGCAGGAGGGTACTGCCACTCACACCCACTGGCCCCAGCCCTGCCCCACACCCCGGACCCCTGGAGTCAGAGGGCATGCCCCTCACGCCAGCAGGCCACTCAGTCAGGGGTGATGCTAACCCAAGGGCCAGTCCCTGACAGGGCCATGAGCCCCCATGTCCACACTGGTGGGCTACCTGCTTGGTCCTCTTTGGAAGCCTTCATCTTGTTGGGCCCAGAGCCAGCCCCCACCTCAAGTGGGGGCCCAGGATCCTCCTCTGTCGTCCCCAGTCAGTGATGTCACAGTTCCTACACTGACATCACCAGCCCCTGCCCTGGGCCAGGGCTAGGATGCAGGGACAGGGCTCCAGTCCCTGCCAGAGCCTGCAGTGCCCAGGACGGCCACCCCCAGAGAAAGATGGAGCCTGTCTCTGCAGGGCCAGGGCCAGTGCCTGGGGCAGGACTCACATTCCCACAGGGAGCTGTAGGCACGAGGACACAAACAAGGCTGGCCTGTGTGTGAACAGACTGTGGACACAAACGAGGACAGCTCGTGTGCAGACAGAGGCTGCAGACATGCGTGAGGACGGCCCATATGTGAAGGGAGCCCACGGACACATACGAGGACGCCCCACGTGTGATTAAGAAGACTGAAGAAGAATGGATGTATCTGAGTGGTGGTGCTGGTGAAGAATACGCAACATACCACGGACTGCCAGAATGAACAAACCTGTTTTGGACAAAGTACAGCCAGGACACCTTGAAATGAAGATGACAAGACTTCGTCTCATGCACTTTGAGGGACCGGTCCCTAGAGAAAGGTACCATGTCTGGTAGAGTCAGTAAAGAGGAAGACTCAGCCAGAGGGACTGCTGAAAGGGCTACAATGATGGGCTCAGACATGATGCCGAGTATGAACGGCACAGGAGCCGGCAGCATCTCCTCAGGTCACACGTGGGGTCCTTCTGACTCAGAACTGACCCATAGCACCCAGAAGGTCTGTGGGACACACTACCAGGTCATCCTCCCTCGGAGCTGCTGGGTGGGTTAGCAGCCGAGCCCTGCACTGCGGCACCTGTGTCCGTCCAGGATGGCAAGGGCGTGGGCTGCCTTGGGGGAAGCCAAACGAGAGCTCTCCTGGAGGCTCTGTGTCGAGCTCGGCCTGCCGCCCACGCAGCCCCCGTGCAGCTGTCCTCGTCCACCTGCAGGAGGCACCCTCCGCTCGGGCGCAGCCACAGAGCAGGTCCTCTGACCTGTCTGTCAGAGGCAGGCCCACAGCACAGATGGAACAGGACATACAGCAGGGCTTCACGTTACCCGGGAGGTGTTACAACCCGCTTACTCATGTGTCTAAACAGGTGTGTGTGTGAGGTTCTAGGAGGAGGGGTGCGGGACTGTTCAGAGCTCTCTCTCAGGGGCCAGGGTGTGTGGAAGCGAGCCAGGGGGGAGGGGAGGAGGCAGACTCCTGTCCATCCCCACCCGCCTGCAGCCCCTGCCGCATCCTGAGCCACGCAGGTGGGGGTGAGGACTGGGGAGCTGCGTGCTGCCCGGGGACCGGAGGAGCAAGGGCTTCTCCACCTGCAGTCTAGTCTCCTGCAACTGTTCCTTCTCAGGGGGCTGTCCGAGGACCCTGTGCTGTGGCTGCAGCATCCCGGCTCCCCACCAGTGCCAAGGGGGCCTGCCCAGAGAGGGACCAGGACGGGAGGGGGATACAGCAAGTGAATCCGTGCCTGCCCAGATGCCACGGAGCCAGCACACTCCTCAGAGTGACTCATCCTTGGTGTCCCCACTGAGCTCACTGCCACCACCAACTCCCAAGGGCTCTAGAAGATTCAGCTACTCCCTGGGACCAGCAGCCCCTTGGTCCAGGTGCACCTCTTCCCCCATGGCTAGCTGCACCACTGGACTGACGACAGCTTTTCTTGGGGTTGGGGGAAGGGCTGAGCCAGGCGGCTACCAAGTCTCATGAGCCACGGGGAGGACTGAGGTCACACAGCCACCTAGCACCGTCCCTGGGGGCAGAGTGGGCACAGGAAGTCTACTTGTTTCTGGACGTGATGCTCCTGGCCTTTCTCCCAGTGCACCTCTGGGTGGACGTGAACCCCCGTCTTGGTTACCAGTCAAGTGCTTAACCGTTTGCTCCACCTATTCCAAGAACGTCAGGACGGGATGGGTCTTGGTCTCCCAGGGCCAGGGGCATCTGGAAGGTCCTGTGGGACCAAGGAGGCAGGATCTTGGCTGTTGGTCAGGACCCAGAGGCACTGGCCCAGCATTCTCTGAGGAGGGCCTGGCCCCAATGGCTCGCCCATGAGCAAAGGTCACCGCGACCAAAGGTCATGGTTGCACATCTGTTTGTGCAGCCCACGTGCCCACTGTAGCACCTGGCACACATGGTCTCACTCCAAACACGCTGCCTTCCAGAACACGCAGGGTGATGGGAAGGCAGGGGGTAGCATGTTCTGGAATCAGACCACAGTGGTAAAGCATGTGCCCGACAATCTTAGGCTGTGCTACTTGTATCTCAGTGCTGCTGGGGACACATCAGGTGAGCAAAGGGAAGCCACAAGCCATCAGAGGGCGAAGAGGGGCTGCCCCTGGAGGCCACGACTGCCTGCACCATGCCAGACACAGG